TGTTCTATAAAACAGACTTACCTGTGAAATTTCTTATTCTAAACTTATTGAATTTCTCTATTTGAATTACAATCTATCTCTATAAACTATTTTTTGATTTATCATATTTTATTAGGATTTAAGTATCACTTTTTTAAAACTCAAAAGACTGCTTTTTTCTCAAATCTAACGGCAACCTAACGTCATCTTTGTATGGTAGACTAATTTGAAATATTCTTCAAAGTTTCTAGATCATTTAGAAACGAAACAAACTTTCTAGACTAAAATGAAATTAAACTGAAAGTTAGTAGATGATTTTTTGAATTAAGCCTAATTATTATGTAAAGTGATAAAATTTTATATTGAAATATAATAAAAAACATATATAATTTAAATATAAAAATATTATTTTACCTATTCCCAATTTACATATTAAATTTTCACATAAAGTACTTAAATGAATATATAACTTGTAAGCTTTCAAAAAAATTAATTAATAGTAATTTATATATAAATTGAAAGTCAAGCTTTTAGCCTTACTCAGGCTTAGGCTCAAAATATTTTTAAGCTTAAAATTAAACTGAAACTTGAGTTTAATTATTACTCGATTGAACCTAAACTTAAATGGAATAATTTAAGAATAACTCAAATCATTCACCATCTCAATAGCTAGTGGAAGTAACTCCCTCCACTTATTGCCTTATTTTAAAATTTTTCTCCTCTATAATATAGGGAAATTAAAAAAATAAACATTGGAAATAGTACCAAAGATACCACAAGAGGTGACAATTTAGAAAAGAGATTAGATTAGAAAAGCAGTTTAGGTTATAGTGCCGTGCGCACGTGCATACATGTGTGTGAAAATATGGAAGCCCGCATATGCATATAGGCACACGTGCGCACATGCTTGCGTGGTTTCTGAAGAGGAGAATTTGGAATTTACTAACACAATATCAGTCTTGAAAAGGTGAGAATTAGAGATGGGTAAGTGTACGACATGTGGGTTCATGAAAACCTGGCCCTCCCTCCTGTACCCTTCCAATTTCTTGCCCCAAGAAATTTTCACAGGCGTTTTTTTTTTTTTTAACAATGACAATTACTTATTATTATTATTACAACGTATTTTTAGAGTTAAACTGAGTATGTTTTAACGGTATTTTTATTTATAAAACAGAGCATTATCACTTCACCTATCATGTGAAAAGCCACAGGCTTCTGTCTTTAGGAATTTATATTTGAACTTTGAAGCTCCAATTTTAGGTATATGACAGTGATGCATAGGTTATACCATCGAAAATTTGAATTCTTTTCAGCTTGAACTGATAAAATGTAATGTTAATCTAGACTGAAATGTTTGTAGTATAATATTCAAGCTCTTGTAATGTCAAATAACTAATTATAATTAAGATTATTTTTTCTTATTTTAGATGCATGTATGTGAACATGAGATCTATCCACCATAAGAATCTTTATTCTTTTTATTCGTCTTAATGTTTGAAAAAATTTAATAGTTTAAATTCTAATTATTGGATATTTCTTATATGAAAAAATATTTCAAACTAAATAATTTTAGTAAATATTCATTAAAAAATATTAGAATATCTTTATTTTTAAAGTATGAATGAGTTGTTTTAGGTTTTTTAATGATATTTTATTAAAATGACATAATTTTGAGTATTGATCTGCCTAATTTTTTTACAAATCTAGTGATAAACACAATCTCTTTTCATATTTTACTACCTTCTTTTGTTTTGTAACTTTGTCTATAAAGGTTAAATGTCATTTTTAATTTCTTAACTTTTAATTTTGAGCATTTTTACTCTTGAACAATTTTTCTTTTTTTATTTTTTTATTCCTAACTATGAAAAATTTATTTGTTTGGTCCTTATGTCAATTTGATTTGTTAAATTTGTTCATATATACATATGTTAGTCCTTGAACTTATAATATATGCATATATCTTTAGTCTCTAAAATATACATATATGGATAAATTTAACGAATTAACTGACAAAATAACTAAAAAAATGTATTTTTCAAAAGAGTTTGTCTAACATGCACTCTTAAGATGTAATAAATGTATATTTTTGTAATTAATTTATATAAAAATTATAAAAGTTTACATTTATTTTAACACTACTGACACGTAAATGATTTTAACTGGTTAATTGATTAAACCGAACTCAACATTTACACCTTCAATGTGAATTAATTATAAAAATGTATATTAATTATATCTTTAACATATATTCTAAGGGTATATAATAAAAAAATCCTTTTCATAATTTAAAATGAAAAAAGTGCAAAAAAAAAGAATTTAAAAACTAAAAATATTTAAAATTAAAAATTCATGTAGTAAAAAAGACATTTAACTATCCACAAACAAAAGAAGTAGTGGTAGAGGTAGTGGACAGAAGGGGAGTAATTAATTCAGCGTTTTACAGTTTTTGATTTCTACAAAAAAATTCACTAGATGTATTTGGACAATTAAACTGTATTCATGGGAGGACAAAAGGAGGGAGCAGGAAAGAAAGAAAGACAATGCTATATATTAAAATTGGTCCTCTTTGTCTCCGGAGCTGCACAATTTCTTCCTAGATTTGAACCCTAATGAAACCTACATTATTGGTGGACCACCTCTACATATTAAAAGTAATCCTCAACTCTCAATGTGAACTAAATGGTTTTTGTATTTTGCGAAAACCAACCATACTTTTTACGCTTAATTTGACCGACAAATAAGCTAGTATGCTTGATCTGACCTTCATACCAAACTCTAAGACATATGTTATGACCGTGAGACACGGTTAAATGAAAAAATTCTACGTCAACTAAGGAAACACTTTTAAACTTAAATATAATTTAAATCTGTGCTTTATCTATTGCTAATTTGTTTTAGATTGCACAGAAGCATTATCAATGACTCGCTGTCTAGCATGTGAAGAGGTAGTGGCTGCACTCCTTCTCTTTCTCTCTTAGATATATATTGCACCCAACTGGCCTTTTTGATTCGTTCATTCACATAAACACCTTAATGTGGATAGTGAGGACAAAACTCTATTAGGATTTGAGTCTGATTCTCTTCATCTCCAAAATTCTACCCTCCTTGGTAAACACCAAAAGTAAACACCAAAAATACAGACACCATCTAGATGGTTACCATTACCAGCCTTTCCTTTTTTCTTTCATATCCCAAATAGAAAATAATCACTTCTCTTCTTCATAAAAGGACCCATCTTCAAGAAGAAACTCACAGTGAGTTTGAGGGTTCCAAACTAGCTAGTGGAGTGTGGAGAGAGAAATGAATTTCATGGCCTCAGAATATAGCAGTGGGTGTGAGTCTGGGTGGACTCTGTACTTAGAACAATCTTCTGTTTCTGCAAGGCAACCCGAGTTCGATCAAATAGATGATGTTTGTAAAAAGTACAAAGAGAAAAGAAGTCATGTAGTTGAAGAGGTTGATGATGAAGAAGAGGAGGACTCATCAATGGTTTCTGATGCATCTTCTGGGCCTCCACATTTCCATGAGAATGATGGCTTCTTCAGCGAGAACAGATATCAGCATTACCCTGCATCGGAAGGTACTGCACTCGTTCAACCCAGCAGCAAACGGCAGAGAAACAAGGAGCATCAACACCGGAAAGATCAGGAGATGTTTTCTTTTCTTGATGACACTGCTAGCTCTCCCCCCATCAAATTTTCCCAGGTAAGAATTTCACTTGAGAACTAAAATATCCCGCATTCTGGATTGATTGTCGACTATGCTGTTTGATATTATTCTGAAGGATTCTTGAAATTTTTCTAGAACAATTTGGCACATAACAACAATCAATCTTCCATGGAGAGTGTCTTGGATTACTCACATGGATTCTCTGCAACACATTTTGAGGTACCTGGCCTTATTTCTTCACAGAGTTTCTCCCTATCTCCTCTGTTCTAGTTTTTCGTTTTGGTTAAAACCTGTTCCCTGAAATTCATCACAGGAAAGGCCTCTATTCCAAGACCACCGTTGTTTCTTCCAGTCTTCCCTGTCTAGCAACCAGATGCAAGGAAACCAGTTATGTAACTTTTACTTGCTATCTTCTTTTTCTTTCTACTCAATAAATTGTCAATAATTTCATTTTTAATTTTATTGTTTCTGGAATGTTCGCGATCTCATTGAAAGTTTCAACATTATCAGGTGGTATTAAGGAAAGAATAAGGAGCTGAGCTGGTTGCATCATTGCTTCTGCTGCAGTTGTTGATGTAGATGTTGCTCCTAAGAGTAATGGAAGAAGGGTAGTAAAAAATTGAAAAACATAAAAGGGAAACAAAGAAGAGAAAAGGAAGAATTGGATCTTAAGAGGGATCCCTTTTATCGCTTTTCCTGCTTCTGTTTTCTAGTTTTCTTTTACCAGCCAATGACATGGGAAGCAACCTAAGAGTATAAGTTGAAAATAAAAATGTCATGTTTTCATTGTATGATTATTTGTGAAGCAATAGTGGGGTACAAATTAGCTTAGTCATATTTGGACTGCCTCACCGTAATTATGTTGTCTTTATTATTGATAGAGCCCCATGCTCTCTTCATATCTCCACTTGCAGTCTCTTTAATTCAACTGAAATAAAGTACTTTAAATAAAATAAATAAACAAACAAGTTATCACAAACTCTATCTTGCTTATTTTAGCTAACTTTAATTTAAAAGTCTCAAATGGTTACTACAATCTTCAAAAAATAAGGATAAGTTATGTTTTATTATCATTTTCTTGTTTCCAGTTGTATCTTTAATATTCTCTTATTTTAATACTCTTATTTGTTTTAATATTAAAATCATGTTTATATTAGTTTTCTCTAAAATTAAAGGAAAAAAAAAACCTTTAATTTCATTCTATAGAAAGTAAGAATGGATGGAAAAAAAAAAAAAAAACCTGAACTATAGGTACTTTATCAATACAAATTTTATTGTGTCTATTATAATATATAAATTTAAAATCTTGAATTAAACAGTACTAAATTGTTGCTCCAATTTTTAAGTGACAATGAGATATAAGCTTTATGGTACTGTCCTTGTTCCCAATTGTTTCTTTAACATTCTCTTGTTTTGTCACTCTCATTCATTTTCATATTAAAATCATGTTTACATTAGCTTTCTCTAGAATTAAGAGGGAGAGGTAGTTGTAGCTCTTAACATTCTCTTGTTTTGTTACCCTCATTCGTTTTCATGCTAAAATCATGTTTACATTAGTTTTCTAGAATTAAAAGAAAAAAGAAAAACCTTTAATATCATTCTGTAGAAGATAAGGATGGATGGAGGAGGAAACCAAACCACAAAAAACTTTATTATTATAAACTCTATTATGTCCATTATGATATATAAATTTGAAACCTCTAATTGGACAATCTCAAGTTGTCACCATGATGTTTAGGTGATAATGAGATATAAGCTTTATAGTATTGTCCTTATTCTTAGTTGTATCTTTAACATTCTCTTGTTTTGTCACTCTCATTTGTTTTAATATTAAAATCATATTTACATAAGTTTTTTCTATAATTTTTTTTAAACAAAAACCTTTAATTTCATTCTATATATAGAAGATAAGGATGGATGGAGCACGAAACCAAACAACAAAAACTTCATTATTACAAATTTTATTGTGTCCATTGTAATATATTAATATAAAACCTCTAATTAAACAGTCAAATTGTTGCTATGATTTTTAGGTGATAATGAAATATAATCTTTATAGTATTGTCCTTGTTCCTAATTGTATCTTTAACATTCTTTTGTTTTGTCATTGTCATTTGTTATCATATTAAAACTATGTTTACATTTATTTTCTTTAGAATGAAAAGAATAAATTTTAATTCTTTTTTATAGAAGATAAGGATCGGAGACCACACCAAAACCGAGCAAAACCTTATTGTTTATAGCATACACGTGTATGCAAGAAACAAATCATCTATTGAATCTCTATGTTTCTTTATTTCTCTTTGCTTGTTGGGTAAAATTTAATCCTAAAACCTTGAAGCTTATCACTTGGATCCTGAAATGGTCAAATGCCTTACGGGGATTCTTTTAATTACTTTTTTTTAATGTACCATGCTATTCTTTTCAACAAGAAAGGACAAATGGAAGCATCATGAACCTAATTTTGGGTGGCTAATCAAATAGAATAAGACAAGTAATTAAAGACCAAATAATTAAGAAAATTTGATTAGGTGGGATTTTTTCCAAATCTTAAATGGAAAAGTAGCATCTCTGTTGAAGTAGAACCAAATCATGGGAGACAGCCAAGAGGGGTTTGGCCAATGGTAAGGACAAGACCTCCATGTCTCTGAGTCTCCGGACGATAGTCCTAACCACCCTGATACAACTATTTCCCTCATGAAAAACTCAACAATATCACATGAATCATGAAAGAGATACAGATGAGGAAAAGTGTTAATTGGGGTGATGGGCTTTTTTTCTGAGAAAAGAAGAAGAAGAAGAATTGTAAAACGACAAAACTCAATGTTGGAATCATTCATATGCATATATTCTCCATTACCCTTTATTAGGCCAAATGAGATCCTGCCTGTGATCTTCTTGATCCAAGGGAACATGCCCCATTATATTTAATCTTGTGTGCTCTTTATCTCATTTGGAAGGAACTCAAAATTTTAAATTGCTTCACCCTCTGCTCTCCCCAACCTTGTCTGTTTTGAAGCTGTCAAAGAACTTGATGTCTATGCACAATTATGTCTTTTCCCTTGAATTCTTTATTAATCCAAGATTTTATAATCTGGGTTCCGTTGAAAAAGGTGAAAAGGATAAAGAAAAAGATAGACCTCGGGAATTTAGGACGGCAGAAAATTAACAATGTGTTCTGAGCTATATCCACATGTGCTATTTTCATATTAATTTCCAAGTCCAGTCAAAAATATACAGAGGAAGGAAGATGAAAAAATAAAAAAACTAATGACAAAGAAAAAGAATGGTTTTTTTTTTCCATTACGCTCCACTCTTAAAAAATAAAAACATCAATTTGGGTAAAAAATAAAAAGACTAAAAACCTATTAATAGATATGTTAACATCCTAATATATTTAGGGTATATTTGTCCTTTACAATTCCAATTGATATTTCTAAGTCTAGGATGATTCTATAAAACATTTTCGAAAAGAAAATTATTTTTTTTGAACAGGTACAATTTGGAGGTAGGAGATGGAAAATTGTAATATGGTAATGTTATGATTTAAATCTTGGTAATTATTAAGGTATTGGGATATCTACCAAGTGATCTAAAAGATTAGTGAAAAAAAAAGAAGAGAATATTGTGCATAAAATTTGAGAAGGAAAAGAAGAGCTCTTTAGTTTTCATTGCCCTACATCATATAGGATAAGGATGTAAACAAGTATGGCATGAAACATCTAGTGTTGTCCCAACCACCACCAAAACACAAAACCTTCAATCTTCCTGTAAAATACAGCGGGGAACGGAATGGCTTTATTGTTTGGTCCTTGTTTCCTGTCTCTAATGCCATCTTAACAGTGATTTGTTTCTGTTTTCCATGACAGCAGCCTGCTTGTCCCCTTATCGTTTTCCACGCCAAATAGTTGCATTGTGTCTACGGATGCAACTAGAAAAACCATGTTACGAATGGTTTATGAAACAATTAAAGTTCCATATCAAATGGTTTATGAAACCATGTTATGAATCCCAATATTATGGAAACCCAAAATAACTAACTATACCTACTGAAACCCAATAAAACTAAACCCAGTCCATGTTTTGGCCCATTAACACAGCCCAGAAACAAAAAACTTACAACTTATTCAGTTATTCATAGTTCATACCCACCCAAAATGGATCATAATCCATAAACACCAAGACTGCCAAAAAACACTCATCTAATTATAGATCAAAACCGACTGAACTAAGTTTTACCTGGGCCAAGTGGCTAGCCACCTAAAGAGGGAATACCACCCTGATCTGAGGTTTGATTCCCCATGATCTCTTTTCCCTCTTCGCCATAGTATGGTAGGAGACAAAAGTTTATGTAAAATTGCTCAATTTTTTTTTCAAAGAGACTAAATTAAGAACAATGAAGACCACTTTTTAGTGTACCTCAAGAGTTACATTCATTCCTGGACCTTTGAGGTTAATGATTTTTCCCCAACTCTTAATACTTAAGTTTAATTTGTCGAGAGTTTGATTCCTATTATTAACTTGAAAAAAAATTTCCTATTCTCTAAAATTCCCCTATATTAAATAAATAATTACATTCATAGATGAAAAAAATGTTATTTCATAAATCAAGTTAAGAATTTATATCTTAAACTAATATTTTAAAAAACTAATTTTCTTAAATATGTTAAGTTGAGATAGAGATACATTTTTAATTTATTTTTAAAAAAATTTATTGTAAAACATATAAAAATTAACTTAGAAACACCTTAACAGTTAAAAAAAAAAAAAAAACACTCTTAAGGCTCATTAAAAAAACACTCATAACTCGGAACAAAATTCAGAATTGCCCATATTTTTAAATTTCAAAGTCCTATCTCGGGAAGATTACATTAGCCTCGTAAATATTGTAGCAACTCTTTATGAATTAGCTTAACTCTATTCATCAATTTTGAATGATTTTAACCCTTGAACAGATTTCAGAGAAACAATTACCTAGTTTTCAAAATTAACATACGAGTACTCGGTTCAAATCTTTCTACATGCTGGGTCTACATGCTATGATTACACTCCATAATATACAAGGAGAATTTATTCAAAATGCACCTCGGAACAAAATAGTTTTGTTCTTAAATAATGTCTTAGATAGGATAACGAGCAAAAAATCTATCAACCATGGCTAGACTCTGTTTTGGCTTGAACTCTGGAGCGGTATGCCCTGCTCCCTGCATATACATCCAACAACACAAACATCTTCAATTTTCTTTTAATTACGATGAATGAGTATATATACATTTTTTCTTTTTCAACATGTAACCTACCTTTAAAGTTGTGTAGGTTAGCCGGTATACAGAATTCATAAACTTCACTTGATATCTGCATAAAATCAATTATTAGCTACTTGATTACAGAATTAGTTCAAAAGTACTTTTGTTACAGAAAAAGTTTTAAATTCATATTTTTCATCAAAAAGTTTAAGTTTGCTCACCCTGCAACTTGACCATCGACATACCAAGCCCGCCATTGATCAAAAACTGGAACTCCAAGAGACCTTATCCATTTTAGAGTGCCCACATATGGTACAGAAATGTCATGGTCTCCACTGTAACACAAAAAATATATTCATGAAAACCTTAATTTGAGATTTTTAACAAAAATCGTGCACGGTTAGCGAATAAAAATGTACTAACATCATAAATGAAAAGGGAAGTGATGCTTATTTCACCTGTAAATTAGAGCTCTGAGTCCTGTTTTTGTGAGATTTTTATGGTATGCAACAGTACTGTCGACATTTTCTGTGTAAGTTGGGAAGGTTTTGAGGCACCTACTCCAATTTTCTACCGTTCCCTGTGTTAAAAATGTGAAGAAAAAAAAATAAAGGACTGAAATATTGTTTTTAATTTTGATGATACAGCCCTTTCAAATTCACTTACTTGGCGTACATAAAGAGCGTCTTGAACTGCTATATTGTTCATGTATTTGTATGATAGTGCATAACCATATTCCTAAATGAGCCCAAAAAAAACAAAAACTTAATTTCATATTCAAATCTACACATACATACTATAAAGAACTATTAAAAGAGAATGCAGTTTTTCAGTCAGTTTTGTTTGGATTAGAAGAAACTTTTGTCTTGATGAAAAGTTTTTCAGTAAAAGAAGTTAGTGCTTAATAATTAACAAGGAAACTAAGAGTAATAGAGAGAGGGGAGGCTTACACGGCAACGCAACTCAGGAAGTTTGTTAGCATTGAGGTATTCCAAGGTGTTTGCTTCCTGAGATCCGACATCCCACTCTAACTCCTCGGGCTTTCCAGATGCAAATGCACATTGAGGCTCCAAAATTTGTGTAAGCTTTATTTGCAGAAGGCACTGCAAAAAAGATAATTTAAAAAAAAAATCATCATTCGAACTCAAAATTTTTACTTTCAACTAAAATTCTAAGAAAAAAAAGAAAGAAAGAAAAGAAAATCATAATTAGGAGCAGTTTGCAGCTGTTCAAACCATTTTGATATTTTGAAGAGCAGTGACACAAAGGGAATTGTTGAAATCTACATTGACATAATCGCCATGACAATACAATTTGGCGTCCTGAAAAAGAAAAACATTATATTTTTCTCCATCAATTAAGAAAGATTTAATTAAGATTGAGGGCAGGCTGTTGAAATATTACCTCATAGTATTCATCCGAAATTAGGTTGACTCGATGAACATATGGGATCCTTGAATTATCATCAATTAAATAGTCTGTCACTGGATTTCCAAGTACATAACCCTGTTTTAATAACAAAAAGGTTTTAATTTCTTATGCTTGATAGATCTCAAGTTCAGATTTCAAAATTTGGATGATGTTGGTCCATTACTAGACCTTATCTTAAAATTGTATACCTGAAGATCTATCTTGGGCTTGAGGCCTTCTTGGATGCCTGAAACACAGTGGCAAACACTAAATATTAGGTAACGAATGAATGCATAATCATAAGTTGGTGTTATTACGATTTTCAGGAAGTCATTTTTCATGAACTAAAATAAACTATAAATTACAAATACTCGAGAAATTAATAATCAACTTTTATATTAAAAATAAACATTGTTTGTGGCGGGTTATACTACTTACCCTTCAGAATATCGGTGACAAGGATTGGAACAACTATGCCTGAATAAGAATCACCACCAATGTAAATTTGATTTTCCAGGTATTTGGGATGCACATTCAACCACTGTACACAGCAAAAATATGCAATTAAATATATTTTCTAAAAAATTTACATCTCTCAAGGAAAAAAACTTCCATCTCACAAATTTCAAATAAAACAATGTGTAAGTGTAAATAGTAAAGATATTAGAATTTCTTGAACTACTTATTAAGTTTCTTAACTTTTTAAAGAGATCCATTTTCATTAAATAATTATTTCATCATACTTCAAAGGGAAAATCACATCTCAAAACAAGTGGTAAACCCACTTTATTTCATGTAGTTTAACAATTCAACGTAAGGTTCCGGAGTGATGGGTAGTTTGAACCTCATACCAAAGTGTCAAACCACATAGAATAAAACAGGTTTACCACTTGCTTTGAAAGGTGATTGGTGGACGATGCTAAGTTAAAATGTATATATAGATCATACAATTATTGGATATATTTAATTCTACTCTACTTTTCTTTTTTCTAATTTTATGCGTTTAATTTGACCTAGATTTCTTAACTTATAGATTATCAATGCCAATGACTTAAGATATTTAATGGTAATTTTCTTCCATTAAAAGTAAGATATTTTAAATTTAAATTGTATGGCATGTGAGTATAGTAAGTTAAGTGATGGAAAATGATTGTCTTTATTATGCAATTAAAGTAAAAAATAATAATAAATAAAACCTTATAATTATCAGTAATTCACTCTTAATCAATTAAAGACTTGACAAGAAATTATGTTATAGATGATTAGAAGATGGATTTTCTTGTTTCCAGCTTGAAAGCTCAAGGAATCAACTGAAATTTTGTCTGAGAACTACCACACCCTTTTGCTAGCCTTATGCTCTCTCAAGTCCACAATTAAGCTCACACCGGGGGCCCAACAAAGCTAAGGTGTCTCTAATTATGTTCCCCAAAATGTCCAACCCATTTTTAGCATTGTCACTCTGTAATCATCATTAGGCAAATCCTTTTGATCAAAAGAATCATTCTAGGACCATTTTCATGTTGGGATTTGACAGCCCAATTCAATGAAAAAACATTAGAGAAAATTTAAGCGAAATAAATGATAAAGAAAAATAAATAGAGAATAAAAACACCAATTTTGGTGTTGCTCCACTGCCACCAAAGAAAATATAGACAAATCTAATAATCAAGAGAAGAATTATAATTGCCGTTCAAAGATCAAACCAAAAATAATAAATAATAAAAAAAATGTAAAAGAGAAGAGTTACAATATAAAAGCAATCTCAACAAGAAGCTCATTTCAGTAGTTTCAATAGGAACTCCCAATTACATCCTATGAACCTCTAAAGATTCTCATTTTGTTTCATTATCATTTCTCACCCACCTATCCTCATCACAAGATTTTTATTGAGTAGAGAAGTAAATGACTCTAGCATAATCAAAATAACTATAACAAACCCTCAAAACTATTAAAAAATATATAACTCACCTTTAAATATGGTATGTATTTAATTTAATTATTCAATTTTAAAATAGTGTCAACTTATACTCATGCAAGTGCAAAACTAATTTTTAGCCACTTATTAATCTATGCACCTGACTTAAACTTAAACATATTTGTGAAAATTTGGGTATTGTGAGTTTTAATATAAGAGTTGTATTTAAATTAAAATTAAGTAACAATAAATAAAGTAGTCTTACTTGCACGCAAGTCATATATGATTTGTACTATATTTCAATATGAGATTTTACCACTTATATGTTTATCACTGACCTTCCTCAGGAAATTATATGTTGCTTCTGCTGATAATGTGTCTGAAGAATTTGCAGCGGCTTCTGTTAGAGCATATGAAAATCCAGTCCCCACTGGTGCATCAATAAATATAATGCTAGCCACCTAATTAAAACATGTTCCTCCATTATTAATAAAATAAAATTAACCAAAAAAAAAAAAAGCAAAATGAAATTAATTAATCAAATCTTATATGTTTGAGAATTTTCACCTTCGTCCATGAATAGGGGTTCAATTTAAGAGATGGTATTCCCCCAGCATAAGACTCAACATCAAAAGTCACTGGACCTGCATAAATACATGTAAAACAGAAAATCGTATTACTCCGGTTTTACACTCCAGACGAGTATTTTGTTGGTCCAGACTGAAAATTATTAAAATGTCTGTAACAATCTAACCAATAAACTCGAATGTTTGCAAAATTTAAAAAATAATTTACTTAAAGTAAATTTTTTTATCATAAATTTGAAAATTTATTGGAGAAAATTTAAAATTTAAATTTTTTTTCGAAACTTATTTAAAAATTATTTTAAAAATCAATTTTAAATCTCCCTCCAAAAAATTCTAAATTTGTAAGAGAATAATTTATTTTAAAAGCATATGTTTTTTAAGAGTTACTAAACACCTTCAAAGTACTATAAGTGATTCTGTTCTTTTAATCTATATTGTCATTTCATTTTGCCCCTAAAATAGCAATCTAAATTAAATCATAATATAAGCCATTTGATTAGAGATGAATCCCTTGATATTGAAGTTATTTTTCATTCAATACTTCATATTTTTTATATTTTGATACAATGCAAACCCCAAAAACAAGAACTCTTAAATTATAGCCAATGTCTTTTGTTTCCTTTTTCAACAAAAATCATCAAATAAATGTTTAATCGAGTCCAGCTCAAGCTTGAATTGAAAGCCTATGCAAATTTTAGCAGACGTTTGGTTTGCAGCCCTATAGGTTATAATCAAATGGAAACTTACCAATTTCAAAAGCAATTGCAGAGAAACCGGAGCAGCCAGGGCCTCCAGTGAGCCAGAGCATGAGGGGGTCCATGACAGGGTTCCTTTCTGACTCAATGAAATAGTAAAACAACTGAATCTCATCTGCCTCGCCTACTCCAATGTACCTTAAAATTTTGCACAAAATAGCTTGCATCAAAAACTCAGAAACGAAGAGGGAATGAAATGAAAGACTACCTTTCTGCCAAAAAAACAGAGGAGATTACCCTGTTTCAAGTTTGAAGGGAAGCTTTCCGGGGAAACCCGGAAGTGTCTCAACAATGTGCTGGGATGCAACACTGTGAGAAAGAAGAAGCAAGAGAAGTACACTCAAGCAAAATTTTCGACTCCATGCCATGGTTTTTTGAAAAATCCAGGGAATAGCAAGGAACCCAGAAAGTTTTGAGCAGAGCAATTCAAACCAGACCCATGATTTCAATGGAATATATGTAAGTTTTATGTATTTGGTGTATAGGCAGTGTACATTGGAAGGTGAACTGTTAGAGTGTGCTTGGGACTGTCTTGCTCATGAACGGCAGGTGAGGGGTTGATACAACACACCTTCAATTTTTGCGTCAAACTTGGGCTTACTGCACTTTCAAACCAAAAACTGCAAAGAATGGGTCTTGACTGAAAAATCTTCAACCAAACGTTCTATCTTTCAATTTGAAAGAAGGGGGGGATTGCCAATTGGTATATTTTAATGAGAATCTATGTTACAATCACGTGTTATTGTAGGAGAGAATTACAGTTTTACGAGGTTGGGTCGACTCTTTGTCCTTTTCTACTTACCAAAAATACATCCTGTCCCCTTAAATGACTTATAGGTATTAATAAATTTAAAAATTTTTTCGGTGGGAAAAATCTAAGAAATAGCAAAGAAATAAGTGACTTAATTACGTAATAATGTGTAAAAAATAACTAAAAAGGAAAAATGGAGAGAAGGAATGATAATAAGAGAAAGAATAATTAATACTAAATAAAATATTAATATAAAATAAAAAGAGAGGAAAATGCACTATAAGAATATAAATATAATGATAAAATGTGAAAGTAGAAGTTAAGAGATAAAATCACTAGAAAAATTAATAAAATGTGTAGTAAAGATACATAAAAAAAGTATTAAGAGGAAAATACTAATAAGCAACACTTAAGAGAGGAAGCTGAGAAATAAACTTTTAACAAAAATTAATGAGATATAGACTAAAGGTAGGTGAAAAATTAAATATTAAGAGAATAAACCAGGGACTTTTAATCTGAATTTCGTGGAAGGCCCTAACTCTCTAATTTTTCAACAGGAGGCTGCGAATGTGGAGAAGATTTTTGAGGCAGTTCAAGTAAAATCTTTTCTATGGGTTAAAGGATTGGCTGTGAGAAATTCATTTTCATTGTAGAATTGGCGTGCACAACCAAGTTTTGTGTTAAATCTATTCACTGATAGAGACATCTATTGATATGGTAATATGGAAAGTATATTGGTGTAAGGGTATGAGTATCTATTGTAATTTAGGTTAATAATAAGTTTAATTTTGTTGATAAAAAATATATGTGCTTTTTATGTTTTGATTTAAAAATATTTTTGATATTTACAGAGGAAGAGAGAAGATAAATTGGATTTAAAAAATATATATAATGATAAAAAGATATATATGTAAGGTGTGATTAAAAAAATAATAAAGAAAGGAAGATAAGGATTTACCAAAAAAAAAAAAGAAAAGAAAAGAAAGGAAGATAAGGGATATTGAATAATAAAAATATAAGTTGCTAATATAGAGAGAGATATATGAAGAGATATATAACGATAATATGAGAGAATAAAGGTGGAAAAGACACAAAAAAAATAATGGAAGTGTAAAAAAGGTGAAAAAATATCAGTTGATTAAAAAGGAGAAATGAAGAGGGAATACATGCAATAAGTTAAGTTTGAATTAAAATGTATAATATAAGTGTAGCGTGATATTAAAAAAAAAAAAAAACAAAAAAGAAAAAGAGAATTCAAGGTGTTTGATAGAAAGATATGGAAAGAGACTTTACCTGTAACAAATTTAGATAATATGGTATGTGAATAGATTGAGGAGGAGGTAAGGAGGAGACAGTAAGGGAAGAAATTAATAATATCAAAAAATTTATTAATATAGATAGGAAGAGACAAATTTTTATAATTTATTGATAGAATAATAAACTATGGAATTTTTTATTTATTAAAATTAAATTAATTAAATATATGCACTTAAATCTTCTTACAAATCTGCCATTCAAACTTTTTTTTTTTGTAAATTAATATATTTAAAATCATTAATTATCCAACAGAACACTTTAAGATATATTTATAGTTCATTATTATTATAAAAATTACTACTTCCTTCGGTCATTTTAAAAAGTCTTAATTTAATTTTTTAATTTTTAAGATATGAAATTTAAATGACAATTTAACAATTTATATAAATAATAATTGAAATTTTTTTCTACATAAAATTCTTACTAAGTATTTTTATTTGATAAAAAAATTAAATTATTATTTATATAATTTATTAAATTTCATTTGAAATTTATGTTTAAAAAATCAAAATAAAACTATTAAAAATGAACCGAAAAAGTAACTAATAAAAATTTAAACAAAAAATATTTTCTAGTTATACTTGACAAAAAAATGAAAGTAAGAAATGTTAAGACTGTCAATTCCAATTACATGCTAAATGAGATTCTAAGTGAGACTTACATTTTATTTTATCAATCATATACTTTTAATTGAATATCATGATGTTCTCAAGACATTCCAATTTTTCCGCATCCTCAATACTTAAAATCATTGTATGTGTAGTGTTAATACTTTATTAATTATGAGGTCTTTTGAATTGAAACTATTGATTAATTGAATGATATTTATTGGCCTTTTCCAGATAAGATCAATTGTGCCATTAATTTAGGCTGTCTGGTAGAATTTAAAAAGGATTTTTGTCTTAAGTAAATTTTATTTTATAAATTAAAAAATTTATTAAAAATTTTCGAATTTAACATTTAAAATAATTTTTTGTCTTAAGTAAATTTTATTTTATAAATTAAAAAATTTATTAAAAATTTTCGAATTTAACATTT